GCAGGAATAAGATTAAAGGTGCTTAAGTCTGTAGAGTTGTTTCTAATTTGTACGTGTCATTTCAGTGGCATTTTACAGAACTCTTTCTCGTGTCCCTCCCTTCTCCCCTGGTACTATCTCAAGTTAGGTCCAAGAAGCCAGGCCATTGGCAGAAATTCATTTTATCCTCCTAATTATTATGCTGGCACTCAGGAGATAATTTTTCCCTTCATGCACTGCCAATTAATATGCAAATGAGCTGATAAATATTTATGCAGTGATTTAAATTATGCAGGCAGTGCTTTCAGTGTATTCTGTAAATGAATTGTTCATGGACTTCAAAGTGCTGGCTGCTGTGCTAACGAGGAGAGATTTGCATAAGGCCCTAATCACACGCATACTGATTAAGCTTCATTATGGAAACTGCCAGCTGCAATCTTTGTTTCTATTTTATTACAAAAAGGGGAACTTTTCATGCTTCAGTTGCCTTGACAATGTCAGTCCTAGCTGGTAGGAGAGACTAAAACTCCTGTGAGCAACTGAAGTTTCCTTATTCAGTTGAAGATTGCTATGGTGTAACCGAAGTTGTATTTTGCTTCTCCCCTTAATCCCCCCTCCCCCCCTTGTCCTCTTAAGAACATAGTGTAAATTTGATGGAAATAGTGGTACCTTCCTCCCCCCACCCTACATCGCTACCTGTTTATTCTTTGCTTTGGACTGTCTGCACCTCTAGAAGATCTCACAGCAATGCTGGACTGCAGTGACTATGTTCTAGGTGGGTACCAGCACAGTTCTTTCGTAGAAGCTTTAATATGGAAATGGTATGTGTGGGGTTGACTATGCATAAATGCTTAATCGCATATGCAGTCAGCGCGGGGCGGGGGAGAGGTGGATTGAGCAGAGAAGGAGGAAAACATTTGCAAAACGCAAGCATGCTTGAATTTGCAATGGGTCCCTCCCTATGACTAGCTCTTGTGATTCACAGGGTATTTTCAGTAAATAGTGTAGATTAGATTTCAGCTTGAAAGGAGGACATTTTTACTTTTTGGGATTTTCTGTTGCAAGCATTTCATAGAGTTCTAAAAACATTTAAAATCAGAAACAAGGTATAATAAACTGTACTTAAGTAATATATACATATTAATAAAAATATTTGCATCCCTCATCAGAATGTCTTATATAAAAACCAGACATACTCTGAAAAATATGGTGGAGCCCTAGTGCAGAATTGTTTCCTCAGTATTAACAGAGGATACTTGCAGTGGTTATTGCAGTAGATCTGTTGAACGGTTTCCAGATATTAGAAACTGTTCGCAGTTTTGACTAATGTTTTCTCTTTTTTGCTTCTAAAACTCAACCACGCCTTTCAGAAAGTACAGTTTAGTATTGGAATGCCTATTTTTGTAGTTTTCGCTATAGAACAGTAAGCCTTCTGGGAAGAGAAACATCTGACTTGAATACATGGTATAAACTGTCTTTGATGACTAAGATTTGAAGATTGAGGCACTTTTTAAGACATCTGACAGCTCCTGGTGGCCATATTTTATGTGGACTTCTGTCTGTTTCTGTGCACAAGTGTTGGAACCTTAGGTTACTCTAGTCACCGAGAAAGTCAGATGATGGGCACTCCAGGACATGGTATCTTACATTAAAACTCCGCAGATGACTTTTGCCTTGTGAGTTGTTTTCCCACTTGAACATGGAGGCACCGCCTATCACCTTCACAGCTGCCAAGGGTAAAGTAAAATGGCACTTCTGAGAATGTTTGCATTCTTATGCAGAAGGCCTGGTCTAACCCAAGGTGGGAGTGATATTTGTCTAGCAGAATTAAAACCACCCTGTAAGGGGCCAATGGCAAACAGCAAAACTGAAGTCAGGAATTCAGCCCAGCAGCAACTCGCGACTGCCTATTGGACTGGTTACGTGCAGCCGCCTCATTGCTGTAGACTGTAATATACAAATGTGCCCAGGCAGAGCAGAAACTTAGCAAAAAGAGGTGTACTTGTTTTTACTCTTTTGTATTTACTAAGTTTGGGAACTCAGGAAAGGATAAGAACCTTAAAAAATATTTTTAGCATTTTATTTAAGAATTAGAAATTATGTCTGGTTTCCATTAACAGTAAATATCACTTGAACAGTCTTCCCATCATTGTACAGTTAACCAGAATTTTGTTGTTTCATTCTTCTGTGTGTTTGAAGTAATTTTGTCAAATGCCCTGGAGACGCTTGTCTGTTCAGCACAAGATCCTTAGAAGATTTACGTCAGATAGCTGTGAGATAGTCTACTTTATAGATGGGGAAAGCAGGGCATGAACTGTACAAGTCAAGCTTATGACTGGAGACTTACGCTTAATTCTTCGTTTCTGTGATGTCTGTGGATGTGAGAAAATTGTTAGCCCTTTCTGTGAATATTAACTGAGTAGCCATTTTTCCACTTTATTTACAGTATACCCTAAAGGAAGCATTGAGCAGTGTCTGTGCCTACTGCTATATTTATTATGGTCATTGTCATCTTGTTGACTCTTAAAAGATTTGGTGAAGTCATTCACTGAAATTTGCTGATTCTTACTGAGTGACACACCTGTTCTGTTCAAACCTTAGTATGCTTTCAGGTGATATTTAATTTTTTCCGGATAGTGGAAGGGAAGAAAGTTGTAGAATCACCCTCGTTTATGACCACAGACACGAATTTTAACCCTCTGAACATCTAAAGAATAAATAAAGATATGACAGAGCTGTCTAAGCCCTAAGATAAGCATCAGTTACAAAACCTAACATACTACACTAGGAAAGCCATAGACAGCGTCTAGGTTGGAAATGAATTTATGAAAGATTTCTGATTTTTTTCTCTTTCTTTGTGCTTGTGGGTAATCCAACTGCAGAGGACATGATTAGGACTTCTATCTAATGATTATTTTAATTTCCTAGTTTAACATTTAAGCAGATAACAAACTGTGCTCCTTGGTCAGAAAATCAAATACGAAGTAATTTAAGTATTTCTTTACGAATCATTTTAGTTAAATGGTTCTTAACTGAATGAGAGGAAAAGACAGAACCTACTTGATTATAAACATGTTTGATTATAGATATTCTGAGTTTGCAGAAGATGTAGAATAAGAGTATATTTATGTATATTCAGGAAGGTAGAAGAATGGAGTTCTTGTCTTTTCTCTTGCATATCTTCTAGAATACACAATGGTGCTTGCTGAAAACTACTAGGGAAACAAACTTTCATTAAGCAGATCATTTAAAAATAGCCCCAAAGGAGCAGGTTCTTTTGGGATAATGAGGTAGTTTAATTTTTAAGTGGATGTGGTTGTGACCCAAGGTTGAAACTGCTAGGTCCGTCTGCCAGGTCGCGCGGGTACCTCGTGTGCTGGGTGGTGACGCGGCATGGCGACATGCTCGCTCGTCGCCTGTTCGGTTTGGCGCTGAAGGGCAGCCGGTTTGGCGATAGTTTTCTTAGTATGTTTTCTTGTAGCTTATTAGGTTGAGTTACCATCTGGCATATTATCAAGATGATCAGTGTATTGTTTTGGTTATAATTAATGAATATCTTTGCTTATAGAAAGAGATACTTTATTTGGGGATATTTTTTCTACTTTTTTAGGTGCCTTCCCTCTCCCTAGTTTTGCTTCTTTAACCTGTTTTATACTTCATGCTATAAAGCAATTTACTCCTTTTACATATCAGACTAATACTTTTTTTTTTTTTTTCTGGATAGATTCACCTGTCTGTCTTAGAAAGACTATTGGTTTGTGGGTTTCTTCAGGACTCAGGGAATCCTGAATTTCTCTGAAAACTTCTACTACCATTTCTGAGATTTTTAGCTTGACATGTATGCGCTGGGTCTCCTTGAACCTTATGATGGTAACATCAGTTCTTAACCCTCTCCTCTGCCAGAGTTTTGCCTCCTGAATACCATTCCCATCCCCAGTGTTTTAAAAACCATATTCTCCTCTGTCTTATTGTAGACTCAAGAATGAACAATCCGTCAGAAACCAGTAAACCATCTATGGAGAGTGGAGACGGCAACACAGGTGAGCTGCGACTCTGGTCGCGTTGTTGATTAGATCTGATGTAACTGGATGGAGGGACTTTCCACTTACCTGAGACTCGTGTGGCAAATACAGGCCAACTTCAGTATGAAATTGTCACATGTGACTTAATACCTGCAAGAACTGCCGTTGTGCTTGCTTAAGATTACCGGATTGCATTATCTTTTGTTCCCATCTGTCAGAGACACTGCAGTTATGAGAACAGGCCTTTAAGTCAGGTGGTTCTGGCTTTGAACCATGGATTTGCCAGTTACTAGCTCTGATGTTAGTTTCCCCAATCTTTTGAGACTTAATTTATTCCCTTCTGACATGGAGATGATCGGTCATATGAATATTGAAGAACATGCCAGCTACCCAGGAACCATTCAGTAAAAGTTAACTCTTATTGGGACCAGCAGTTGGCATAATGGCTCTGTCACTGCACTCCCATGTAGTCGACCGCAGTTTGCGTCCCGGCCCCAGTGGCTAAAACTAATGCCGGGCGCGTGTGCGTGCATGCCCGAGATCCCGAGAGGAGAATGGAGGAGAAGGAATTGCGGTGTGGCCATCCCCACTGGGGGGTGATATCTCTCTTCTCTGTTTCTTTCTGTCTTTCCGGCAGGTGCACACGCCCTATAGCAAAAACCTCTCCAAAAAAAAAGAAAAAAGGTAACTTTTCTTACAGGTGTTAATCAGAATTGTCAGTCTTATCTACCACACAATTGATATAAATTATATTAAGGTTTTGACAGTGTCAGTAGGTAAAAACACACACACCCATTTCTAATATATCTTTATTTGGTAGATTTTTTTAAAAAATTGTACTCGATTAAACCTTTTATCATGAGAACGTTATCATGTAAATGAGGACACCGAGGCCCTGAGAGAAAGGTAGGTCCATAAAGTAATCTGCCTCCAGCTCATACTCTTAATTCAGCAGAGTGCTCAGAGACATTCGAGTAGTATCTCTACTATGGTCAGAGGAGGTACAGGATATCCGTAGTTCGGTAGAGGTATTTATTGAAATAACCAAACCGAGTGGGAAGGGAATTGTGGATGGATGCAAATAAAGGAATTGTTTCTGACATAAACTAGATTTTTCACATGCAGAGGGATTCCTCCTTTGACCATCATTTTAAAAAGCGCCTAACTATGGGAGATGGTAAGAATGAGGACCTGCTCTTGAAAACGACCGGTTCTCTTCCCTCTGGCCACAGAACGTTTTAGCTTGAGTAGGCTGGTGTGGTGAGCCAGGAGAGCAGTCTCCTGTGATTCTCATCGTGCGCTGTCCTGCACCTAGACGCGCCTGTGAGTCCTCACGTCTCTCCCGTTTGCACCTCCTCGTGCAAGCTGAGCTGCGGGTTTCCGTGTTCTCCCTGCTGTATTCAGCACGTGTCCTGTTACCCTGAGACTGGCCGCGCAGACCTCTGCAGATCCGAGAGGAGGGTAGGCAGCCTGCAGCCGCCTGCGTCATCAGCCCAAACCAACAGCTGGTTCCTGTGCCAGAGCAGGTGCTTTGGCCACCTCGCTTAGGTGTGGGCTTATTCGCAGGGAGAAACAGCATTCGATCCCTGTAAGAGGCTGGGGGGAGTGGGCAGGGCACCTATCCCTAGAGCAGCTGAAAATTCATTCACTTTTCTCTCTAAAGGAGAAAAGGTGGATTCACAGAATGATTGGAGAAGTTTGAAAATGTCCATGATATTGGACCCCTTGGGAATCCCCACATTCAGTGTCATCACTACAATAGCAGTTTCAGTCATTATCTAAAAAAAAAATGACACGTTTTAAAAAATCTTACCCAAAGTACGCATTATCCAATTTCAGTTTAAGTTCTCACGACAAGTTAGGTATTATTTCAAGGAAGAGGAAATGGAGGCGCAGAAGCAGCCGGGAAATAAGGCGGGTTTAGGGTTTGCTTCCCACGTGTGGTCTTTTCCTATGAACTGCAGTACAGTGAAGCTGGGAAGTTACGGACACTTTATCTGTTCAGGCCTAAAGCCACTCGCAGAGCTGTGGAAGGCAGATTCTGGATGCGGCTCCAGTTGGAACAGCCTTCAGAACATCTTGCCCTGTTTTAATGCAGAGTGCATGGCACACTTGTTCCCGTGCTAGAGCTTAGACCTGTAAAGACTGATTTTGTGGCCAGGAACTGTCACTTCTTAGACTTCGTTATTTCCATCATCAGGAATAGCAGTTGATTTTCTCATTTCCCTGCAAGAGGGAAAAAGAAAGAAAAATAGTATTACTTTTTTTGTAAAATGATTGCTAATACACAGCAGCTAGACCAAGTGTGAGCTGGTTAGCCATCCTGACTCTGAAACAGAGCAGCTCACTTCCTGTGTGTCTACTGTAGCATTTGTTATTTTAGCCAAGTTGCAAATTACTTTCATCTTGTGAGCCTTTTCATTCTCTTGAAAATAATAGGAACAGTGAATGTCAGTTTCTCAAGTGTTAAGGGTCTGTCACTATCTTAGCATCTCCCCTAATGTCAGTTTATTAGTGTAAGAAAATGGAAATACATTTGAGATTCAATTTGCATATTAAATTACCATGTTTGATATTTTAAATATGAAATTAATTTATTTAATTGCATGCCTACACATTGATTTGTATTTAAAAATATTATGAACTTGAACGTAATATCATTCATTACTTATTTGTTTCAGTAGTTTATGAAAAACCAAGTTAAATTTTTTTTGAAGAATTATTTTATTTAACTTTTATTTATTTATTTATTTATTTATTTATT